AGACTTTGGGAGCTATTATAGCCTGACTTGGATATAGGCATGAGGAAGTAAGATGGTAGATGATCAGTCCTTTCCCCGCATCTCAGGTCTTCTGTATTCCATAGAGTCCCAGCAGATTGTTTTATATATACTTCATCTATATCTATTATAGATTAGATGGGTTATGGCTGGTTCCTTCAACTCTTTGCCCAGGAGACACAATAACTACAAGTGCATCGACAGAAGATACAATGACAAGAGTATAATCTTTCAGCCAGTTTGAGAAACTTTCTTACGTTGACTCATAGGATTCCTGTATTGTATACTTCCATCATGTTATCTTGAACTGCAAAGTTCCTAAAGAGTCAATCTTGTCAAGGAAAAAAAAAATTACTATACTGTACTAATACTGTGCAGGGGATGCGGTGGCACAGCGGCTTAATGACGCTGAAAGTTGCCGGCCAGAAATGGTCGACACTTCAGTGGTTCAAGCAGTCAATCTTGTCAAGGAAAAAAAAAATTACTATACTGTACTAATACTGTGCAGGGGATGCGGTGGCACAGCGGCTTAATGACGCTGAAAGTTGCCGGCCAGAAATGGTCGACACTTCAGTGGTTCAAGCCCAGCTCCGCGCAGCAGAGCGAGCTCCTGCTTCCTCCCCAGCTCCTGCCAACCCAGCAGCTCGAAAACTGACGTGAGTAGATAAATGGGTACTCTCACCCCTGCGGGAGGTAAAATGCTGGCGGTGCCTTGCAAAGGAAACGGGAGCAGTTGCCGGTAATGTGGAAGCTGCGCACGCCCAAAAAAGGTGCGAAGCAATGGAAACCCCGCCTCCTGCGCTTGCCAGCTGGGCTCTGCTCTAGGAAGGAGGCAATGGCAAACCACTTCCCTTGCCTTGAAAACTGCAGGGACTCATCCAGGCAGTCGCCGCAGAATCGGTAACGATTGAGTGCGGTTAAAAAAAAAACTAATACTGTAAACATATTAGATTAGGCCTGGAGAGAAGTTAAACTATCAGCCTAATGTACTTTATAGAATGGAAAAACTGGAGGTCAGGATAGACAGCAGTGTACACTGTATTTTGCTACTGGAATAAATGGGGGATTATAAGTATATAGACAAATAATAGTACATGTTCCAGGGAATAGGCCAGATCTGAGGATGAGTGTGAATTATTGAAATGTTGATGCATGCTTCATTACTGAGAGAATGTTCCAGTAACTGAAGCTGACTTTTGCGTATTTACAACATATAGTATATGGCAACATAAACTATAGGAAGTTTTTTTCCTCCATAATCCTCAGGAATCTTCTTGAAATGTACCAGAATTCCAGGAACCAGATAGTTTGGCTTTATTTGTAATGCCCGTTTACCCACAGCTTATCTTTCAGAGTTTAAACGTATACCAGAACTAAACTGCATCGCTTTCTCACCTTTATCTTACAATATTCTGTTTATACCACACAGTTTGTGTTTCACTAAATAACTATGAGTAAAGGGGGTGAACTTTAGAAACTATAAATGCATACTTTAATTTTCACCATTCTGAGGCTGTTGCCTGAAAAAAGAAAGCCTTCATGTATTACTGACTGTAGCAAGCATTTAGTTATTACTTCTATATCCTGGCTTTATTTTATAGAATTCAAGGTGAGGTACATAATTCTCCTTCCTTCTTTTTTCCCCATAACAATCACTATGTGAGGTAGGCTGGTCTGAGAGAGAGCAACTGGCTCAAGGTCACCCAGCTGATTTCCGTGTCTAAGGGAGAAGTAGAAATTGGGAAATGATGTGTTCCAATCCAGCATTTTAATCAGTACACCAAAATGAGTCTCAAACAAAAACACAATTGTAGTAAAACACATTTGATTTATATAAATATTACAGAATTACAAGTTGACATTCCTGCAGTCCAACTCTGTGATCATAGTGAAGTTTCAGGAATGGATATCTAGCCCAATTTTGTCCACAGAAATAAAATAATCCTCAATTTGCTAAAGAATATGTCCATTTGTTTGTGATCACATATCAAGATGTACTAATTACTAAAAAGTAACTGATATTTAACTTTCTACCAGCAGAAATAGAAGTAGAATCAGATAAATTGCACATAATATATGCTACTTTGTGGTTTTCAGTACCTGTCTCTAGAGGATATTTTGTGAAATAAATACAACCAATTAAGACAGGTATATGAAAAATGCTGAACTCCCCAACAGTCTTTATCAAACGTAGTGAAGGCATAAAATTTTGGATTGTTCTGGAAAAGGCTCTAATGCTGGGAAAGGTAGAAGGAAAGAGAAGATGAGGATGATCAGCAGCAAGGTGGATGGCTCAGTTACAGTAGGAATGAGTGCACCATTGGGAGACTTGAAACAACAGGTTAGGGATAGGTCATCATGGAGAAAATCTATCTATGTAGTTGCTAGGAGTAAAAAATGACTTGATGGCACATAATCAATCAGTACTGCTGTTGACGTGAGTCAGAAAATGTGTTGTTATGCAGTTGACTACTACAAATTAAAAGATAGATTCAAATTCATTCAGATCAATGCTTGGTTTTTCTACTGATTTCAAAGGGATCAGGGCTTCATGAGTCAGTCAGTCTTCTCAGATGTGAGAAGACCATTTCTATTTCCAAACTAGCTCATGTGACCTTTAGAGGAGATCATCTCTACCCTCCTAGGAATAGATAGTAATAAGGTGTTTCCTTCCTACCCAAAACATCTAAAGGTGATGACAGGAGCCATAGAGAGATCCTTATAGGAAAAGACCAAAGCAAAACTGCTAAACATTTTCAAGGACCGAGAAAGAGCCATTTCACATCAAAGAATAAAATAGTTCCTGTTCTGTTTATTAATAAATACACTTCCTGGAAAATAGAATAAAATGTTTGTTTTTTTTCTAGCTACTCTTTACTCCAGAGACCAAACAGAAGTTGCTTTTGATAATGAAAAAACAGTGACAAACCCTTTTCATATTTAAAGAACAAATTCAGATAAAAACAGGATTATTCACGCAAATGACATTTCTTTGGAGCATTAAATTTGGGGCCATGCCACCCAAAAAACTCCTTCAAATGATCAAAATTTAATTTTTTGTCCTAGCTTCATCCACTTCTTTGTCCTGAGGACTTCAGCAAGGCCTCTAAAGATCTTGCTTCTGGCAGCCAGATCATTGCTAACCTTTGCTTTAAAGATATAGAAATAATACATATTGTGACAATTCTTCCCAAATTGTCTGTATTTTCCAGCCTAATTGCAGTCATATATATATGGTGCCACCAACATAACAGAACAGCATAAACTGTTTGTATTTTTAGGTTCAAAGAAAGTGCTGAAACATGGAAAATGTTATGAACTCCAATAACAAGAATTGTCAGTGTAAAAGAACACCAGAAAAAGGATCTGAATTTCAGGATTTTACATGGTGAATATCTTCCTGGTTGACCAACAGTGCACACTGTACTTTGAATGGCTTCAGGGACTTCTGGGCCTTAGAAGGAATTGCAGTTGCTAATATAACTTTTCATATAGATGAATACTTTAAGAGCATGATTTCATCTTCCATGGGATTCTTATTCAGACTCATCAACAAATGTCTTCAGTTTATGGACCTGTGATAATTGCTTATTGTTCTAATCTGTGTTAATTTGTCCAGTGTAAATCCCTAAGGGCAAATAAATTGGGAGCAACATATCCATTTTGAAGCCCTTATCATACAACGTATCAGAATTGCCCACAGACTGATAAACAGTAGTACAGTCATGTTCAAAAACTAACGAACCACATATGGCCCTCCCTTGAGATGCACTTAGGTTGGATGAATAATTCCTGTTTTATTCCAAAAGCCATTATTTATCAGTAAGATCACATTGCTCAGAAGCCCACACTGAGATTACATTGTGAAATTAGGCTGGAAATCTTTTTCCATCTGTTTCTGATTTGCTTCTCTGATTCAGTCCACAGTACTTTTCTGTTTTTGTTGTCATGTTTTACTGAAACCAGTTTTGGTACTGTTAAGCTTTTAATGAATGATCTTTCCAGATTTTTTTCATATAATAATTTTACAGTGATTTTTGCTCAGAGTTCAGGAATTATTTCCAAAGATAGCTATTCCTTATAAAAGCAAGATTCTCCTCTTCAAGTACATAGAGGGCAATACTGGTAGTTCTCAGGTTACAATGGCAATTGGGATGGGAATTTCCATTGCTAAGTGATGCAGTCATAAAGCATGATGTTACATGACTGCATCACTTAGCAATGGCAATCCCGCAGTGTGGGTTGCTATCGTAACCCCAGGACTGCACGGGTCATTAAGTAGGAAGAGGCAGAAGTCCCAGGCAAGCAGGCCATTGGGTGTGTGGGTGCTACCGGAGGCAAGGGGTGCAAGGGGCAGGCACTCCAGAGTGCAGGCAGGTGCCGGAGGGGGGCAGGCAGGTGAAAAAGCAGCAGGAGTGGGTGTGACTTCCAACTTCCTGCTGGCTTCCCCATTGACTTTGCTTGTGGGAAGCCAGCAGGGAACACTGTAAATCATGATCATGTGACTGTGGCTTGCTCAACATTGTAATCACGATCTGGGCACCAAGCACCTGGATTGTGATCATGTGACTGTGGGGACACTGCAATGTCCGCAACTTTGCAGACTGTTTGTGAATCCCCCTTGTTCAGCGTCGTCGTAAATTTGAATGGTCGCTGAATAAATGGTCGTAACCTGAGGACTACTTGTATTTTTGTAAACATTTCCCCTTCACAATATAGTTTTATATTTTTGGTCTTCTTTTAAAGTAAATTAATCAAAGTGCCAATAGGGGTTTAAGTATATAATGACATTTTATGATCATTTATTGTGTGTATGTGTGTGTTATTTTTTCAGTTTAACATTCACTGAGCTAATAGCATGGGGGCATGGGTCCGAGATAAGGCTTCTACAGTACCCAGAATGCCATTGATACTAAATGTAAAAGAACAATAGTAGTAAGATTTATGCAAATATTTGTGGAAAGTTCCATTATCCATCTTCATTATTTGTACTTCAACTCCTCAACAGTTTGAGCTACGCCTTTTGGCAGCAAGAAGCCTAAAGGTTCTGGCTTTGTATATAATGAAAGGCTGGTGTTCTCAGGCATTGTCCATCCACATTGTCCTAAGGATAGTGATGGAGAGGGGAGTTTCTGGGGCAGGCTTTTCTCTTCTTCTCTTCTGGTCAGCTGCTGATTCCGAGTGGAAACAGATACACTTCGTAATTTTTGCTTTACAGTCGCTGCTGTTTTCCTTCTGCTTTCTTCCTGCTTCTTACTTGCCTAGAGTGAAAAAAGTGAACACTCGCTGTGAATCCTAAAGAAGATATCCAAGGCCTTGAGGTGAGGGACCATTCACACAATCCATACAGATGCTAGCTACCCGTGGAGCACACAGGCTACTCTTGCTATTCCAAACTACTTTTCTTTAATTCTGTCATCTCCAACAACTTACCTTTTGCCCTTTGCACCCCACAGAAACTGCATTCGATTTGTTCTCTCTTTGTACTCACCTACTTTACATCCTCACCACTCACCGAACTATTCAGCATCTCTGATTCTTCTTCTTTTTTTGTAGTTGTTCCTCATCAAAAAAAACCCAGCACCCCAACAGTGTAACAGTAATGACAGCAACACAGACTGCTTGATTGTGCAGCTTTTTACCACCTAGCAATGGCTAGCATCTTTTAAAAATTCAGCAGCCACATAACAAGGCTCAATTTGAAACTTGGCAGGAGTTCAGATAACAAGCTACTGTGTGAAGGAGGTAAGAATAATGCAGTGGTTTTAATGAGCCGTGTCTGTTCCAAGCCAAAATAAAATCCAGCTATGTTCCAAAGAAATATAAGCTCAAAATATATCATAGAACATATCGTGAAATATATGTTACCCGACTGAAAATGTCTTGGTAAGCCATTAAGTGTTCTTAGTGAAGCATCACTTGCCTCTTTCAGCCACAGCTTGCTTAGTGTTTCTTCCACACGATCTATAAAGGCACTACGTTCACCCCACTGGAATCTATGCCTCTGAAAGTAAAATAATTAAAACAATTTGGGAGAACTATTAAATACTTTTGCAGTCAGTATTTAGAATCTCTACCTGGATCCTTTGAAATTAGCAATAGGATAAGCTGTTTCCTTATTTCTCTATAAAACTCAGAATAGTAGGACATGTATTATGGTCTCTACTTCCCCACAACCATGGGGACAGATGTACAAAACATTTTCTCTTCTTCTACATTGTCCTTCCAGATCTGCAGATGAAAGTAGATCACACAATAAATAAAGTGTTCCTGTACTTAAAAAATATCAAATTATTCAAATAAGCTAAAGATGATTTCTTCTCATGAATTTCAGAACCTAATCTTAAAGGTGAATATGGCCTTTAGGTGCTGCAAAATTATTTGATATTGGGTATTTATTATTTTCTGTTTTACAATAACTTAGCCTTATTCTAGTTTGATTTCAGTAGGCCTCTAACCTTTAATCCAGTTTTCTGTGATTTGAAGCAAATAAACTTAATGAATCTGAACTAAATGAATCTAAAGTTATAAAAGGAATAAAACATGTTGGCTTTTAACTATTAATAGTTAAAAGATTTATTTTGGATTCAGCTGATGTCACTCTTCTTCCAGATATTTATTTATTTATATTTATTTATATTTCAAATTTGTCACTGTCCATCTCACTGTGGGGTGAACTGCATTAATTATACATTTTGGTACCCCAAAACATGTCCACAGAATTCTGGGTTGAACACTTTCCTCCCTAATTAAAGTTCTTGGCAATGAAAGTGGGGCTAGATATAGTAACTGAGCCAGTTTGAAGTTCACAACATAAAAGCATCACAATTATGGCAACCATGAAACCTTTCTTTACACAAGTATCTAACACCAGTTGCTTTAACTGTGTTTCAGGATTTGTGTCTTTGCATACAAAATGTTTGAGGCTGAGTCCCTGGCATCTCCAATAAGGTTGGAGAAAGTTGATCAGCTGGACAATGCTGAGAGACTGGGTGAATTATATAGGTAGCATTCTTTTCACATTGGTGAATGGTGTGGAGGAGCCTTCAAGTCAGCTGTGATGACCACCAGTTCAATAATTTTCTCCTTCAGATGATCACTAATCACAGCAGCTTTATTCTCAAATACAATCTCATGAAGAAAACACCAGACAAGAAAAAGAATTTGCTGAGTAGGTAAGAGTTTCATCAAAATATATAGTCCTTCAAGTTTTCCAAGTTTTTCCTAATACATTGTAGGTTGGTAAAAAGTATGTGGGTTTCTGACCAATCTGGTGTGCAATAGTTGTGAGGATTGTCTAAGGGAATTAAAAGGGAAAGAGATGTGAAAAAACAGGGGACATGCCTTTATGAACCAAAAGGCTAAAATAATACATTATTTACAGTTGGGAATTATGCCTTTAGTACTATTTTTCCTTTAAACCTGTGTGTTTTATATATATAGGCTTATATTATTTATTTTGTTGATTTACAACATGCCTAAAAATGCAAAGCTAAATTGTTTTCAACCTAAATATAATTGAGACAAAAATGGGAGAAAAAAGAATTGAAAACATAAGTTGGAAATAAGCGTACATTTCTGAATCTTTAAATATTCAGATAAGAACTTGTTTTTATTGTTTTCCGTATTTATGAAGTTACTATAACTACTAAATCACTTTTTGCATCAGAAAATGTTCTCAGTACATATAGCCCTGATATTTTTCGACTAATGAATGCAAGTGAATCAGATACAGCTGCTATTACATCATCATCATCAGAAACTGTTAATAATATCTTTATCCTAAGCACAATGACTACAATTGCACATGAGTGTGACAGCCTGATCCAGTGTCCGATAAAAATATTCCATCAAGGAATCCCAGGGAAGCGTTCTACATTGCAATAGAACTTTCTTCTACCTGTCTTAAGATATCCAGTCCAACAATGTGGACTTACACATTTTATTTGCACATTTATACTTTCCAACAGTAATTTATACCTCCTGAGCAAAACAAAATATGAATTATAGGTTCTGAATTAACTGAGAATTTTAAAAATTAGTCACATACTGACTCAGATTCCTTTAAAACGATACAATAATTTGTGTTTTGTTAGGAAAAGATTCCTACCTACTTCTTTCAAAATACAATATAGTCCATCTGAAATATTCAAGAACTAAATTTGGGTTTTTTTCAAAAAGGTATTTATAAAGTAATGTCAAATGTTTGACATTTGACAGTGTAAAACTACTAAGAACTGTAGGGGATGATATTGCCTATGATGCAGTTTACATCAGGTAAGAAAAAGTTGCATTTTCCAAATCAATTCATGGGCAATATCCACCCTAGAAACCTAGGAAGCTGAGAACCTGATTTTTAACAATTCTTTAGATGTTTGCTCTCTCAATGACTTCCACAGAGGCTAAACCCCAGCAAACGGTGATCTTTGCTGAGGCTTCTAAGAACTCTGGCAAATTAATATTCTCTTTAAAAGCACAAAACAGCTATGGACAAATGCAGATGAAGAAGAATGAAAACTGGGTTATACTAACCGTAAAGGAACCAGATATAGTAGGCCAGGGCTCCTTTGGTAGCAATAGCCTTGAATCCCACTTCCGTTCTTGAGGCTTGTAGGTGACGAATTTTTCTTTTGAGCTGTACTTTTTTCTGTCATCTGTCATAGGATGCAGTCCATAGACTAAAGTGATTACACAAAAAAATTGTGTTCAATATGCACACTACATTATTGTTAATAACAGAAGGATTTAAGCCTGCAGTCCAAAGCAGACTCAAAAATAGAGCAAATGCAAAATGTCTGCACTAAGAATTTAACGTAATACCAATAACCAGCGTGTGCTGCTCCTGTTCCTTTAGAAAAGGCAGGGGCATATATATTTTTAAATACAAGTATCCAACTCAAGTCTGATTCCATGGACACAAGTAATTTTCTTGATAATCAGATAGAAGTGGATTACTACTGCCTTCTTTGAACATTTTTTTTAACTTCCCAGTCTCCTTTATAGCCTTGGGATTTTCTATATGCCTAAACAGTTATGAAGTAACCATATTAAAGCATGCATAGCTTCTGAGCCCAAGTAAGATCTTCTGTTAGCCCACCTAATGATATTACAGCACCATTTAAGATGCCTCTTATAGCCCCAAAGAACCTTTAAAAAGAGAGAGAGAGAGAGAGAGAGAGCTTTGGCATTTGTTTTAATGATTTCATGTCACATTTTAAAAATGAAAATAATAAAAACTATATGTGAATGAAAACGTTTTCACCTGATACTGAAATATCCCCAAAATGGCACCAGAAGAAACCAGAGAAACAGGATTACCAAAAGGCCCCTCTCACTGATGGTCACCCAGTTTCTACCTCAACTATCATGGGCACCTTGCAAATATACAGTTAATGGATAGAATCATATGGTTACAATAACTGCCTATTACAAGCATTAAGTACAGTATTCCTACTGAACTCTTCTGGGTCAATAACTATTTACTTTTGGTCCACAACACACACTCATTATTGTGAACCACCCAGAGTCACTTTTTGTGAGATGGGCAGCATCTAAATTTGATAGATAGATAGATAGATAGATAGATAGATAGATAGATAGATAGATAGATAGATAGATAGATAGATAGAATTAGATATACGCAAGGCACTAATTTTGCAAGTT